GTGAAAAGGATGGGATGTGGTCCAGATTGTAGAGTTAAATCTTATCAAGGGTACGACATTAACGGTTATATGTTTTATACCAAAGATCAAGATGAAAAAGTACAATGTAGAATAGTGGAGTTACAATGATAGCATCAACAACCGAATTCGACAGACGGGATCATGATACTTTGATAAGAATAGCCAATGATTCTTAGTATGGTGTTATACAAAAAATTTGGGAGTTGAACTATTATGACTTTGTTATTCTTGTGTTCAAATGTAAATGGGTGGATAACCGTGTAAATGGGTGGATAACCGTACAGGTGTTCAAGTTGATAAAGATGGTTTTACACTTGTAGACCTTACAGCTAATGCTTATGTATCTGATCCATTCGTTCTTGCAAAACATGTCACACAAGTTTTCTTTATCAAAGACCCGAGCAAGAAAAAAGAGCACATCGTCTTACAAGGCAAATAACGTGTTGATGATGTCGTTGACGAAGAACAATACGACCACTTTGATGATCTACCACCATTTTCGGTTGGTATTAAACCCGGTAATTACAATAATATTGAACGCACAACATTCGTACGACCTATCATGGAAGGGACATACGTTGACTAAGTGTATGAATGCTTTTTTTTTCATTTTTGAATATTGTTTTTACATAACTTTTGTATCAAATACTATCTATTGAAAGAGTGATAACAATATTCTCCTTCTCTATTGATAATTATAATGTTTGTATAATTTTTATAAGAAAATATTGAATAACATTTAAATGTATCAGGGAAGACTTTTACTTGTGCTGTTTGATCACTTGTGATGTACATTTAATACAGGCATTTAATTGTTCTATTAACAAGAATGGACAATCTACTTTTACGTGAAAACCGCTCTAAAAAATTGAAATAAACCACCTCAAAAGATAAAAAAAGTACTATAAAAACCGCCTCAAAAGATAAAAAAAAAAAAAAAAAAAAAAAAAAAAAAACAGCATCAAAAGATATACAAACCGCCTCAAAACAAATAAAACCGCCTCAAAAGATAAAAAAAATAGCATCAAAAGATGCATATAAACTGCCTAAAAAAGTACATCAAAAAATAGCATAAAAACCAATAAAAGCATCAAAACATATTGATTATCAACCATTCGATTCTATTTATCTACGGATGAGGATATTCTTTAATGCATCACACCGATTGAGTTGTATTTTAGAGAAGATAATTATGTATTGTTATTTTCTTATTTAGATAAACTAAATTTTATAATTTAAAAAGCATCGAGTAATTTTTTTTTTTGATTTTTACACTCAATTAATGTATAATCTATTGGTAAAAAGAAAAAAAATAAAAAAAAATATTTTAGCTAAGTCTGTTCTTTAAAGACTTACATCACTGTTCACAAAAGGAATTGGTTAAAACAAAACAAACAAAACATCCAATTATCTAAGTCATGCAAGTCAAATCCCTAAACCCAAAACTCCAACGCAAGTCTATATACAGTAAACCATATATCGTAAATCCAAGCCCCTAAACCCTAAACACTAAACCTTAAACTTAAACCAAACACCCTAACCAGTAAACACTAAAACCTAATCATTAAACCTAGAAACTTTAACCTTAAACCATAAACCCTAAACACTAAACCTTGAACCTTAAACCATAAACCCTAAATACTAAATATTAACCCCTAACCACTAAACACTAAACCCTAAACTTTAAACCTTGAAACTTTAACCGTAAACCGTAAACCTTATCCCCTAAACCTTTAACACTAAACCTTTAAACTTAAACCAAACACCCTAACCACTAAACACTTGTAACATCCGGATTTACAGGTATTATATTTTATCATTTATTTTTGGGTCTAAGAGAGAGACTCGACGAGCATTGCATGTGGGTCAAGATCCAACCTTTACATGATTATTGGTCTTGGGAAGGTTAGATCTATGGATTAGAGGAACAGATCTGACCTCAGGAGGTAAGATGAATGTTGTCATGGGCGCAACTCGCGGAGTCCATAGGTAGACTCGACAAGTCGAGTCGGGGTTGCCCCGTGATTCGTTGCATAGTCACCCGGCGAGTGGAGAGTGAACTCATCGTGTCAAGTGAGGTTTTGAGGATTTCATAGGACCAGTGTGGACTCGCCGAGTCGCCCAAGTGCACTCGACGAGTCTGATCAAAGTTTGACCGTTGACTAAAGTTGACTTCGTTGACTTTTAGGGTTTGGTCAATGATTGGTCTTATGAGCCATTAGAGGGGTAGAATGTTCTTTTACCCTTCTTAGAGAACATATAGAGAAGGGTTAGCCTAGCCTTTATAAGTTGTATTAATTAGAGTAATTATTTATGTGATTAGGCGGAGGCTAGTGCGGTACTTCAGAGTGAGACATTAACCGTAAACCCAAAACTTCAACACAAATCTATATACAGTAAACCGTATATCGTAAACCTTAGCCCCTAAACCCAAAACACTAAACCTTTAAACTTAAACCAAACACCCTAACCACTAAACACTAAACCTTAAACTTTCAACCTTGAAACTTTAACCGTAAACCCTAACACTTAAACCCTAAACACTGAACCTTGAACCTTAAATATAAAACAAACACCCTAACCCCTAAACAATAAACACTAAACCTTGATATTGAAGATTGATCATTAAGTCAAGTTGTATAATGGATCATGAAAAAGTCTTACATCCTCCTTAAAAATATCTTTAGTTTTAACCAAGATTAGTAAACCCTAGCCCCTAAACCCTTAACACTAAACCTTTAAACTTAAACCAAACACCCTAAACACTAAACTCTAAACCCTAAACCCTAAACACTAAACCTTTAAACATAAAACAAACACCCTATCCCCTAAACAATAAACACTAAACCTTGATATTGAAGATTGATCATTAAGTCAAGTTGTACAATGGATCATGAATATTTATAAATATCTTTAGTTTTAACAAAGATTAATCAATGTAAAATAATATACTTTTAAAAAAAAAACTTATCGGAAACCACTTTAAAAACTACAGAGAACCGCCTCAAAAAATAAGGTAATCCGGATCACATTTTGATTAATCAATAATATACTTTTAAAATAGAAAACCGCCTCAACAAATAAGAAGAAATCACCTCAAAAAATATACTAAAACCGCCTCAAAAAACAAGAAGAAACTGCCTCAACAAATAAGACGAAACCGCCTCAAAAAAATATATTGAAACCGCCTCAAAAAAGGGAACCACATCAAAAGAAAGAAAAGCGCTTCATTAACCCTAACCCGCTCGACAAGTTTTCCCTCTTATGATTTTCTTGATTTGGCTTTCTAATTTTTTCACTTCGCGCCAGCTCTCCTGTGGAAACCTCCATAGTGATTCGTAAACTCTCGATTTTGTAATACTTGACGCCGACGGAAGTTTAGGTTTTAATCGGATGGCTAGTCGACGCTGGAAGCCTCCACATACGCGAGAAACCTCCATAGCTCTCATTTGGAAACACTCTACAAGTGTCGGCCTAACATTGTCAGTTCTGAGTTGTCGAATAAGGTATATATACATAGTTTTGTTGTTGTTGCGACTAAGGTATATATATATATATATATATATATATATATATATATATATATGTATATATCTATTGATTTGTTGTCGTATATATAGTTTTAATTTTTTGGAAACACTCTAAGAGTTTTATCGTTAAAAGGTGTTTTGATTCTTTTAGAATTGAATGTGACTGTGTCATGTCTTATATATTGTTTAGAATCTTTACAGTATTGACTTGTTGTTATGAAAGGTGCTATTACTTTACATTATAGTTTAGAATCTTTAGAATATACAAATGTGTGACTCTTTAATAAATGTAATATGTGGCCCCACATATATGGGGTCTATGAATTTATTGGATCGGTCCTTCTTTTCGTTGCATTATGTTGGATTCTTGTTTTGTATTCATGGAATATAGTATTATATTGGATTATGTTTTTTGTCCTTATGTAATGTTTGTCTTCATTTATCTATGGATAAAATTATTTTTAATTTGTTTAATGTTGTTAGGCTTATAAAAATGGAAAAAGAACGAACAAGAAAAAGAGGTGAACATGGTATTGTTGTATTTAAGTCAAAGATTTCTCAAGAAAAATATAAAGTGATGTTTGATAAAAATAATATCCCAGACGATGACATATCAACACAGTTTAGTTCTTGGTTTGGCATAAAGGTTCGACGCAGTTTTCCTATAGATATAGACTCACGTAAACTTGGACAAATGTATTTTAAAGATTTATGGTTGGAAACCAAGGTATTTATATTTTAATTTATTACAAATATAAATAACTTATTAATTACTTATTATGATTAATCTCTTTTTATTTGTTTTGAAATTGTAGAAACAGTGGAACATTGAGACTGATGATTAGGAAAATTATATGAAGAAGAAAACTGTGAAACTAGCATCAAATTTTAAATCATTCATTGTTTCAAATTATGCGAAACACGGATTGAATGCTTGTCTAAAATATGATTTTATAGAAGGGCGATGTATGGGAAAAATTTGTTGCACAAAAAACTACCCTCGAGTTTTTGGTATGCTTAGTTGTTTATTATTATTATTATTATTATTATTATTATTATTATTATTACAAATAACTAATAACACTTTGTTGATATGTGCGAAGGCAAGAAGTGAAAAAGCTAAACAAAGTAATGCCAAAAGCTCATTCATAAAACATTTAGGATGAAGTGGAGGGAAGGGTCTTGAAAAAAAAAGACATATTATATGGCATCAACTTGTATCAAAATACGAGTTTCTGGGTCGTATACAAAATGAACAGTACATGTTGTATTTAATGCCTTTCGCATTAATAAACAAAGAAACCAACACGTACGATCTTCCTCAAGGGGCAATTCAAGATTTTCAATTTTTGGTAAACAATTATTTTTTTACTTAATGAATATTTCGATTTTTTAGTAAATATATCTTACCAAGTATTTTTTTTTCATAGGAACAAAAAGAGAAAAAGAATGATAGCCGATGGAAGCTATTTTCAAAATAAGGAAGAACCATTAGTTAGACTTTTGGGACGGGAGCACGAGGGGCGATCACGGACTATATCCAATATCATTGGACATACTAAGGTTTACGGTGGACTGTTTAAAAATGTGGAAAGTAGTCGAAGTGCAAGACAACAGGTTGACATAATCCCAACATTCCATGAATCGAGTGGTGTGTCTGGTGGACAGATGATAGAATACCCACCTATTGAGGTAAATTTCCACATAAAAAAGATATATATATATATATATATATATATATATATATATATATATATATATATACACACACTATAAGTTATATTTTTTATATTATATTTACAAAAAATGTTATATAATTTGCAGGTTAGGACAGAATGTGAATTCCTAGTGAATGTGGCTGATACCCAATTGAAAGTAGCTAATGGTATTGCATGACAAACATCTGAAACGATCATACATTCACAACAATAAGTAAAGGTTGTGTGAAAGTACAAGTTAATGAGATCGTTGATATATATATATATATATATATATATATATATATATATATATATATATATATATATATATATGAGAACTTGCCTGTGCATGCTGATGTGCACGAAAGTACTCACTAATTTTAATATTTATAACCTAACAAACTTAAACTATGCACTTATAGGCAGTGTACCTAGTCAGATTACTGTATAGCTTGGGTAAGTCGGGTGTCGATCACAGGGAACAGTGTTACTAATTAATTTACTTGCTATCAAATTAACCTAATTATTAACAAGTTTAGAAATGGGTTTTATCTGATTTTACAAGATCAGACGAACTTAACTCAAAATCAATCAATTAAGTAAAACACTCTTGTCTAGTTCGAATCCACTTCGTCCTTATGGCTAGCTAATAATTATGGATTATCAAGTTGGTTGTAATTGTATTAGTAATTTAAGTCTAACTTTACCAATAGTTAATTAATTCATGTCAAATTATGTATGGTCACACACAATTAAACACAGAGCTAATTATGAATATGAATATCCTATGTAAGAATTATTGTGCAAACGCAATTATAGTCACAATCCACGTTCTCTAACACAGCTAAGTTTATTTACTCTAATTACTAACTAAGATTGGTCAATCCTAGCTCTAACAATTTAATGTTCACTAAATCATTAGGTAAGCAAGTTCATGCAGTTAATGGTCAATAATCTACACGGAACATGGGGGCAAGCAATTAGAGAAACAAACACAAGCATGCTAGGTAACTATAAATCCAACACAAGCAATTCACCAACTAAATATATCCATAAAAGTTAAACTATTCATAAGTTGGAAGCTTCATCTAGCTAAATAAGAGTAGCTAGATTCAGATGCTCATAATAGCAACTAACACACTAACACAAATCAAAGTATATTGAAACATGTTCCTAAATAACAATTAAATAACCTAAATTAAAGACCTTCACTCTTTTGGTGTTGAAAGCTTCTTCCCAGGACTTTTCTTCTGCTCAAAATCGCCTTTTAGAACCCTTATCAGCCAACCAAAAGCTTTTCGAATCGTAATGGTTAAAGATATATATAGTTGCTGATCTTCCTCATTCACGTCATGAATACTAAGATATTCACGTCGTGAGTTATAGATAGTCGTGCCCATCAAGGATTCCTTCACCCATATACTTATCTTCTAGAATATAGATTCACGTCGTGAATCTTGAAATATTCACGTCGTGAATACGCTTTTCCTTGATTTCTTGTCCTTTATTCTTTTAACTCCCAAAGTTTCTTCATTTGACGTTTTTAGTCCCTTTTCTTCAAAATGTCTTCTTTTTGGTTGCAAATAACATTTAAACTCATAAGTACCATTATTCTAAACAAATTACCAGTTTATATATAAAAATGCACTAAAATATTGCCTAAAAACAAGTATAAATATGGCAATATCAAAATACCCCACACTTGGACTTTGCTTGCCCTCAAGCAAATCAAAACTTAACCCTTTACTACTAACATCACATACGACAATCCGATTCCAGCTCAGCCATTATGCCAAGACCTTAACGCATGCATTTGTGTCTAAATTTTTCCTAAAGTCCCCCCCCCCCCCGGCGCATAGTTTAAATACTCACAACCTCAGAAAACCTCCTAACCTCAAGGTATTTTTGGCTGAGCAACCTAAGCATACATAATCTAGAAAATTACAATTTAGGATACCACTATGGAGCTCTTTTGAATTTCTTCACTTTCTTGACAATTTGATCTTTGAATTCGCACCTTGTTTGATTTGATTTCTGGTATCTTCAACTTTTTGAATTTCTTGGAATTTTGGTTTTTTGTTCTTCGTACTTTAACTTTGATGCTCCAAAAATTCTTCAAACTTTTTCTTGTAATTCTCTCTCGTTTTTTTTTCTCTTTTTTTTTTTAACATGTAACTCACTTTTTTTTTCACTCAAATCCTACATGCTTAAGTAGGGGCGCTCAACTTCAACCTTTATTGGTTAAAGATAATAATTTTCCTAGATACATTTCTGGTACACGATGCTAAACATATTGCGTCCTTCAAACTAAGCGAGGTTGTGTTTTTGTTCCATGATTTCACTAAAATAAGGGAAGCCACAAATGCACTATAACATGTGTTGGCTCATCTAAACATTTGAGCTCTCATCAGATCATCTCATCCGACACTAGCAGCTATTATTATTACTAGATTTAATTATTAAAAATTTCAATTAAAAATTTCAATTTTCAAATTTCCTTAGTAATTTACTTTTTCTACCCCTACCCCATACTTATTTTATACAATGCCCTCATTGTATGCATAAAATAAATCAAAATTAAGAAAAAGGGAGAAAAAGGAACAGACTCCCCTGTGATAGTGGCGTAAACATCTCCAAAAGTGTGGAAAACATGCATCTTGAATACGGACTCTGAGAAATAGAAACTTGGATCTTGAACTCGTGAAATAAGAAATGCACCGGCAAAACATGAAATCGAGCCTTCAATCTTCTAAAAATGTGGTGGAAATCTTCTAAATAGAATGAACAATGTGGGAAAGCATACGCCACATTGTATGGTAATGAAAATGAGCCACAATATCCTCTAGAATAATGACAAAAAGAATGGTATCAACCCAGTAAAGGATAATATGTCAAGGGCATTGAAGTTGTAAAAATTTCAGATTCACGACGTGAGTAATAATGGTTCACGCTATGAAGTCGCAAATACGCGGATGTTGGACACCCCTGGGAAATGATTCACGACATGAGTAAAAGTGGTTCACGTCGTGAAAACCGGGCAGACAGAAAACAAACACTGCCAAATCTTCTTCTAATGTGTACAATGCAACCCAATGTCTTAATGTATTAAGACTCTTCTAAATTCACCAATTTTGACTCTTTCGCTGACTATCCACTCTCTCGACTCACCCCACACTTATTTTAAAATATGGGTCTCGACTCTCAACTCTAAACACTCCCGGCTAAAGACGTTCGCATTTCTATCTCGGTACCCTTTCTAGGCGCTCCTAGCAACTTCTGAGAAATATCAACCAAAGAAAAATAGAAGTAACATAATATCTTCATAGTTCTTACAATCCCAAAATAACACAATAAAAACAAACCAAAGCAAAACAAAAAAAAACAAACAATCAATCATGCTCCTCCTCATCGTGCGCTCCACTCGTACCCGCTCCGTCACCTCCACGCCCACCATACTCCGTCCATCTCGGGAAAATCGGGTAATGATACCCCAAATGCGGTGGCTGCTCCACTCCAAGGTGCTGGATAATGTTCTCCATAGTCCCGCCAATCCAGTTAACACTCAAACATAACTGGTCAAAATAACCAGCCATGTCATTCCCAAAAGATGGTCCCACCATGGATGCGGGTGGAGGCATTGGTTGCCCGCGTTCTCCCCGTCCTCTAACATTCCTGCGTCTCGGTCTTGGTTGTGGTGCAGGTTGGTCGGTCGGCTGATCATCATCATCATCACCTTCACCATATGAAGTTATTATGCCCCAATGCGACCCAAAATTTTTGACCACCTGCATAGTTTTCAAATAGCCCATACCAAACCCATGCTCGTCCACACATGTCATGGAGCGAGTAATATCATGAACAACCAAATGATACGAGCGGGCCAAGCGTGAAACAAAGTGCCCCCCACAAATGGGGCTCCCAGGGCGCGAACTAGCGGCAGACCCGGCCAGAAAACGGGCTAGAAAATACGGGATGTTGCAACACACACCAGGATGTAAGATGCACCATAAGAAGAATAAATTATGTTTAGTTACTTTGTCTCCATGCCTCATATGGTTGATGGAAAAGGTGATGAACTGGTGGAGTAAGCGATGGATCGGGGACCGAATACTGCTCTCGGGAGACACTCCGGAATTAAACATTCCAGATGCAATACTATGCCAGAAAGAATACCCCGTGACACCCTCCGCATATCCTCTAGCATCCGCACTCAAAAACATGCCAAACTCGGGAGTCATATCCTCCTGTCGATCATATACTCCGACTCTCCAAGCAAATTCAACCAGGCTACACTCCTGGTACTCACCCCCCAAACGAAATACCAATGCCTGTGGCCAATGTGGATCTTGAACAGTTTCTTGAAATGTCACCGTTGAGAAAAACTCATCACAAAATTCCTTGTAGACCCGCTCTTGTACCCGGAATAGATTACACCAACCAGAACAGGTAAACGAATACCCATCTCTAATAAATAACTTTGTCAAAAATGGGCCCACCCGGTCTGCGAGCCCTGCTTCCCTCAACCGTGTCCAATTGATTGTTGGAGCAACTGCGATTTCTCTGTTGTAGAGCCATCCGAATATGTTGTTCCAACGGGTCAAGACATCTCGAGACATTGTTGCGGAAAAATTGTAAAATGGTTGCAAACCCGCAACTCCAGCTGGAATCTCTCTTCTGGGAGCCATTTCTGCAAAAACAATAGCAAATATATCCAAGAGAATAATCCAACATATTAGTAATAAAATGAACAAAGAAAAGTGTTCAACTCAGGATTCACGTCGTGAATCCTTTAAGATTCACGTCGTGAATTCGGATTATCAGCAATGAGCATCGCAACAATCATGGGCAAATTTGGGTACAAAATTAATGGGTTTTACTCCTATACCACTTCCAAGCATAAAGCATAAACATTCAAAGGCTATTACGGAACTTTAAAGGATTAAAATCGACATTGCATCCAAATAACAAACCCTAACCCTAAGTGAAATTATTAAAGAAAAATTAAGCTTAACAATTAAGAATTATTACCTTTGATGGAAGTATTACATAAGAACCAAGAAAAATCGAAGAATTATCGGCCAAAATCGAAGCAATGGGGACTAGGGGGACCAGATCTTGTTTTCACTTCGTGTGGAATAAACAAAGGAAAGGTCAACTGGTTTCTAGGGATTTATTCTGTGGTCACGTGTTTTCAAA